CCCACAGGAACCAAACTAATGGCCTTAAGCTCCAGAGAGAGGTAACCCATTGTCTCTAGCATCAGGGAGGAGCCTCCCCCCCCACCCCCCTGGTGGGATGAGACAGCAGTCTGGCAGCAAGTATCTGACTTCCCCCCACAAGGGACCCTACAGGGCAGGGCAGACTGCTCCCTAGGGCTCTCGAGGCTGCAAGTCTACAGCATATCAACTTAACCCTCTCCTACAAAGCGGCTGGTGGGTTCAAACTGCCAACCTTCCAGTGAGCAACTAGGTGCTCGAACCCCTTCACCACCTGGACCACTGCTTATAGGCCGGGTGGGGCTACTGACACTGTATGTATAGATAAGGACACTGAGGCACAGAGAGGCTAAGTGATTTGTCTGGGGCTGCCCAGCTGGTAGGAGGTGGAGCTGGGATTCGAGCACCGGCTGCCTGACTTGGAGCCCCTGCAAGCAGCAACACCCCACCACCACACACACACCAGGGGCTCTTGCTCCTGCCCCCCCACCCCCATGGTCCTCACCTCCCACCAACCTTCATGTAACCCCTGTGATGACCCACACACATCCCCGGGGTGGGTGCTCCCTGGCAACTGAGAGCCGGGTATGGAGGGTGGCTGACCTGCTTTTCAGGGAGAACCCCAGCCCCTGCGGTCATTTCTCTCAAGGGTGGTGGCCTCTCCCTTGGGCTACGGATGCACTGACCAGTGGGGCCCACTGAGGCCAGCCCGTGCAGGCTCACCCAGGCAGTCCCCGTGGGGCGTGGCAGCGAAGCCAGGGAAGCAGAGGCAGTTGTAGGAGCCAATGCTGTTCTTGCAGGTCCCGTTCCCACACGGCTGCCGGCTACACTCATCACCATCTAGCCGAGCAAAGGTCCCGAGGCCGCTCAGCCCACCCAGGCTGGACCTGGACCCGCTCCTTGCCCCCAGCCCCTCCACGTGGATGGATGAAGGTTGGGCGATACCTCTCACTGTTCGCCTCCCCATTTTGCAGATGGGGGCACTGGGACACAGGGAGACCAATTAGTTGTTTACACCCAAGGCCTCAGTGCCAGGTTTCTCACCCGCCCCAGGGCGCCCAGGTAGGGAGGCACTAGAGGGCACTCACCCACACAGGCAGTCTGGTCCACTGAGGCCCGGAAGCCGCGTGGACACAGACACACATAGCTGCCCTCCGTGTCCACACAGTTGCCGTGGCTGCAGACATTCAGGGTCTCCTGACACTCGTTGCATCCTGGGGCAGTAGTGGGCTGTCACTCGGTGCCCTCCCCCAGGGCCCTCCACTAAGTTGTTGCCAGAGCCCAGGCCGCATTGTGCCAGGTGTGTGTGTGTTTGTGTGTGGGGGGTGTCCCTGCAGTGAACAGTGAG